ACCCCCCCCCCAAAAAAAAAAAGCCTAAAAAACCAAAAAGGAAACCAGAAAGTCACCTGCCCAGAGTCCAAAACCAGAGGACTGGCTCTGTGCCGCCATCTGGTGGTGACTCTAGGCGGGCATCATGCATCAGTGTAGATCCAGGGCTCAGGGCTGTTCAGGCTGGTAAGAGGATGGGCAGGCCCTGGATTGGGGAGCATCAGGGTAGCTGGGGTTCCTTCCGGTGACTGGGGGGGTTCTGTGCATAAGAGGAAGAGTTGAGGGCTGGGAAGGTGGCTCAGTGGTAGAGCACTTGCCTTGTCTGCATGAGGTCTGGGTTCAATTCCTCAGCACCACATAAGCAGAAAAAAAAAAAAGCCAGAAGTGGCGGTGTGGCTCAAGTGGTAGAGCACTAGCCTTGAGCTGAATTGCTGAGGGACAGCGCCCAGGCCCAGAGTTCAGGCCCATGACCGGACCCCCCACCTCACCCCCCCAAAAAAGAGGAAGAGGTGAGTGTGTGGGGGTGTGGGAGGGGTGAGGTCGTCTCATGAACTTTAAACCTGGGTTGGCCTTGAATTTTCATTTTCCCAACCTCAGCTATCCAAGTAAACAAGGATTACAAATAGGAGCCACTGTGCCTGACTCATTTTGGATTTTTGAGATGAGGTCTCAATATATAACCCAGAATAGCTATGAACTCACAGTCCCGTCTCCACTTCCCAATGCTGGGATCACAAGTCATGCACCACTATGTCCAACAGAAGATGGGTTTTGAAGAGAGGACAAGTACTAGTTGATGGGCTACATGGGCATGGAGGCAGAAGAGGTGATATATCTGTGTCTATATATCTGTATCTGTGTGTGTTTGTTTATCTATCTATCTATCTATCTATCTATGTATCTATCTGTCTGTCTGTCTGTCTGTCTGTCTGTCTGTCTATCTATCTATCTGTTGACAAGCAAAGTGGTCATGCCTAAGAGTTGGAAAAAGATCTAGAGGGAGAAGAGAACCAAGAGAAAGTAAAACAGAAACAGAGAAACATGAATAGTTGGTAGGGGAGAGGTCTCACTGCACAGTGGAGAAAAACTGTCTTGCAAGCAAAACCCAAAGTTACACAGATAGGGAAACAGAGGCGTTGTCAGAGAAACTGGCTTCCCCCTAAAGACTGGGTGGCTAGTGGCTCACGCCTGTCATCCTAGATAGTCAGGAGACTGGTATCTGAGGATTTCAGTTCAAAGCCAGCCTAGGCAGAAAAGCTTGTGAGACTCTTACATCCAATTTAATCACCAAAAAAGCTGGAAGTGGGGCTATGGTTCAAGTTGGTAGAGCACCAGCCTAGGGTGAAAAGCTAAGGGACAGCTCTGAGTTCCGGCCCTGGATGGACTCACACACAAGAAATGACTGCCCTTGTCTTGTACCAGGTGTTCAGGAAAGCCCTGGGCAAAGTGCAAGAGAAAGGAATGCATGCACCCTGCCAGGTGCAATCAGAGGGGGTGTGGTCTGCCTGCCAGGTGTGACCCCAGCAAGCCCTGCTTCCTCCTGTGACTCAGAGAAAATGTCAGGGCCTGAGTTCCCGCTCCTCAGCCCCCCCTCCTTGACAGGGGGTGTGGTGGATATCAGGTAGGGATGGCAGACATTTATTCATCAACTACTGTATGCCAAAGGCGGCCTTGGCATGAGACATCCCCAGGGCCCTCACTTCCTACTGTTAGCCACCTCAGGGCTGAATGTGGTGATTCCCAGCGTGGGGGTGTGCCAGCACATAGGCATGGCCTTCTGAGGGCCATAGACATTGGTGATGACTTCCTTGCTCAGCTCTCTTGCATCTGGCTGGAGACTCTGGAGAGGTGGAACTCTTTTTTTTTTGGGGGGGGGGTCCAGTCGTGGGGCCTGAACTCTGGGCCTGGGCGCTGTCTCTCAGCTCTTCAGCTCAAGGCTAGCACTCTACCACTTGAGCCACAGTGCCACTTCTGGCTTTTTTCTTTTTGCTTATGTGGTGCTAAGGAATCGAACCCAGGGCCTTAGGCATGCAAGGCAAGCGCTCTACCACTGAGCCACCTTCCCAGCCACGCTCTGTTTTTTGTAGGGCCTGAACTCTGGGCCTGGGAGCTGTCCCTCAGCTCTTCAGCTCAAGGCTAGCACTCTACTACTTGAGCCACAGCACCACTTCCAGGTTTTTCTTTGTATGTGGTGCTGAGAGATCAAACCCAGGGCCTCATGCATGTAAGCCAAACACTCTACCACTGAGCTACCGTCTCAGCCCTGAGTGCTCTGTTCTAAAGACACCCCTGTTGCAAGTTAGGGACCCCAGGTAAAGCTACAGGGTGTCAATGCAGCCCCGGTGACTCCTTTGTTTTGTAAGTGCTTGGGTTTGAACACGGGGCCTTGGGCTTTGGCTGGTGCTCTGCCATTTGATCTATGCTTCCAGCCTTGCAAAAAGCTGGTTTTAGCTAGGCACTGGGGTCTCATGCCTGGCATCCTAGCTACTCAGGAGGCTGAGATCTGAGGATCGCGGTTCAAAGCCAGCCTGGGAAGGAAAGTCCATGAGACTCTTATCTCCAATAAACCACCAGAAAACTGGAAGTGGCACTGTGGCTTAAGTGGTAGAATGCTAGCCTTGAACAAAAAGAACCCAAGGACAGAGCCCAGGCTCTGAGTTCAAGCCTCATAACCGACAAAAAACAACAAGAAGAAGCTGGTTATTTTGGAGATGGAATCTAGTGGACTTTTCTTTTTTCTTTTTTTTGTCGGTTGTGGGGCTTGAATTCAGGGCCTCAAGGCTTGTGTACTACCACTTGAGCCACAGCACCACTTCCAGTTTTCTGGTGGTTCATTGGAGATAAGAGTCTCACAGACTTTTCTGCCTGGGCTGGCTTTGAACCGAGATCCTCAGATCTCAGCCTCCTGAGTAGCTAGGATGACAGGTGTGATCCGCTGGCCCCTGGTGAACACCAGTCTTGAATGAGAAAGCCAAAGGACAGAGCCCAGGTTGTGAGTTCAAGCCCCCAGTACTAGAACACACAAGAAAGGAAGTAATGGAGGGGAGGGGTGGAGAGGGGAGAATGAGAGGTGAGCACTGTCTTGGGGTTTCCTTTCAACTGTCATGGAAGGATCATTTTTGGCACAAAGGGTAAGCTGACAGCTGAGGGCTGTAGTCCGGGCTGGCGGGTGGGGCAGCGAAGACAGTTGGGAGTCCCTGCTGGGCAGGTGAGGGATGGGGCAGGGCTGGACTCTCAGGCTGACAACCTCTACTTCCTCCTCCTCCCCTTCCTGTGCCAGTGCTGGCCCCACCAGTGGCCAGCAGAGGGAAAATCCTTGAGTTGAAAGTCCAGCAGTTGCAGGCAGGAGACTTGGGGCTCTTGTGTCCCCCACAGCAAATGGCCAGGACCGGTGGGGGCCCCGGGAGAGGCCCCTGGGGGAGCTTGGTGCTACTGGTGAGTCCTCCCTACCCAGGGCAGAGCCCAGGTCCCCAGGGAGGGACGGACTGGGCACAGAACCCATGCTCTTGGGGACTAAGGGACACAGCCACTGAGCCAGGACCCAGAGGCAAGGCTGGCTGTGCCCTGGGGAAGGAAGGAGGAATATGGAGCTGGACCAGGTTGGGGGTACGCTGTTGTCCAGGGTGGAAGGCAAGGCATGAGGCTCCTGCTCAGGTGTGGCACAGACCTAGACCCCAGCCTTCTCCCTTAGACCCTGGAGGCTAGATACCAGCCCTCCTCCCTCAGACCTAGAGTCCAGACCTCAGCCTCCTCCCTTAGATCCAGGGTTCCGGGCCCCAGCCTCCTTCCTCAGACCAAACCCAGCCTCCTCCCTCAGACCCAGAGGTCCAGATCCCATCTCTCCAATCTCCATCTGTACCAAGACTGTGGGTTTGTTTTCTTCCCCTCTTCCTCCCTACCCCCATCTTCCAAGGCTGCATTTTTTGAGAAAGGGAACTGATGCTGTTCATCTCTTGCTTGAGCAGAGGAGCCAAGCTTAGCTCCAGAGCCCAGGGAACTCCGCCCCAGGACTCATGCCCTGCTTCCCCATCAAGAGAGTGACCTTTGTCAGAGCTTAACTCCCGCTTATCTCTTGTCAGGGATGATGGGGGAGAGGAGGGAGGAGGAGGGTCAGGGTGGAGGCTAGGGCAGCCCCACAGCTTACTCAGTGTCTGAAGCCTTCCATTCCCTCCAGGGTCTGTGCAGTTGGATGGCGATCGCCAGGGGAGATGGTGAGTGACCTACCTGCCTTGGCCATATGCACACAGAGTCGCACATACAAGTCTCACTGAGGCAAGGTGGTTGCCCGGAGGCTTACCAGAAGTGGGGGATTCTTTTCTTTTTTGGGCGAGGACTGAGACTTGAATTCAGGACCTGGAGCTCTGGCCCATTGCTTTTATTTTTCTCAAGGCTGGTGTTCTACCACTTGAGCCACAGCGCTATTTCTGGCTTTTTTTTTTTTTTTGCTGGTGAATTGAGGCTAGAAGCCTTCTGAACTTTCCTGCCTGGGTTGGCTTTGAATCCTGAATATTCAGATAGCAGCTTCCTGAGTGACCAGGATTATAGGCAGGAGCCACTGGCACCTGGGTACTGTGCTTTTTATTACTTATTTTGGAGATGGAGTCTGGTAAGACTTTTCCATCTAAGCTGGCATGTACTGTAAACCCCAGCTTGCAGCTCCTGAGTAGATAGGACTACAGGTATAAGCCCTCGGCCCCCAGCTACATTTCCACTTTTACATCAGCTATATCACAATAAGGGAACAGAACCAGGGCTAATGGATCACACACAGAATTGCATGTAGGCCAGCAGCTCCAGACACTGCCCTTTAGCAAGCCACCAATATGAAAGGAGAAATGGGCCTGGGCATCCTAACTTCATGCCAGCCCTGCCCAACTCTGTGAGTGGCCCCACATCACCAAAGGTACTCCTCACCTCACACCAGAAGCTCCACGTTCTGGTGGAACTGGGGCCACCATGCTGGATGTGTGGCCTCGGCGTCCACCTCCACCCTCTTATGCCAGGCTCTGGGAAGGGCTGCAGAACTTGGGAACTGGGCACCACCATTCACCCCTCTTCCTCTCTTCTTCCCCACCTCCAGCCCCAGCCCCAGTGAGAAACCTGAGCTTGGAAGGACAGAACAGCAGCTCCATCACCCTGGGCTGGGCTGGCCCTGAGGGCGCGGACGCCCACAACCTCACCTACTGGGCCCAGTGCACTGGAGATGGAGACAGGACTGAGACTCGAAACACAACAGACACCTGGGTCACCGTGGATGGACTTGAACCTGGGTCTTCCTATGTGTGTTCTGTGTGGGTGGAGAAAGATGGAGTTGTGAGCTCCAGGGAGAACCTCACTGTCTCTACAGGTGAGAGGCGGCTGCTCCTCCCTCCTTTTCTTCCCTCTCATCCCATATCCTCTTTCCTTTTCCTGCTTCCTTTCCCCCTTTCTTCCTCCATACCTTCTTCTCCTCCCCTGTCATTTCCTTCTTTTCTCTCTTTCCCTTCCTCTTCCTCCATCCCGTTTCTTTTCATTTCTTTTCCCGCCTTCTCTCCTTCTTTTATCTCTCCTTTCCATCCTTCCTTTTTCTGCATTTTCCTCTTTCCACCTTTGATCTTCCCTCTCCATTTCCTTCCCCTCTTCTTTTCTTTTTGTCCTCCCTCCCTCTTTCTTTCCTGTCGTCCCTTAATCTCTCTCTCTCCTTCCCTCCCTCCTTCCTTCCTTCCTTTCTTTCTTTTCTGTCTGTCTTTTTTTTTGTTGGTTCAAACCAGGACTTGAACTCAGTATTTGACACTTTCAATCATTGGCTCATGCTCTACCAAAGGAACCACGCCTCTGTTTTCCTCTCTTCTTCATTCCTTTCTTTGACTTTCTTTCCTTTTCCTTTCCTTTCTGTCCCTTTCTTTCCTCATTTTTTTCTTTTTCTTTCTTTTTCCCCCTTGGTCCTGGTGCTTGAACTCTGGTCCTGACCCCTGTCCTTCAGCTCTTCAGCTCAAGGCTAGTGCTCTACCACTTGAGCTACAGCTCCACTCCGGTTTTCTGGTGGGTTATTGGATATAAAATTTACATAGGGGCTGGGAAGGTGGCTCAGTGGTAGAGCTCTTGCCTTGCATGAATGAGGCCCTGGGTTCAATTCGTCAGCACCACATAAGCAAAAAGAAAAAAGTTGGAAGTGTTGCTGTGGCTCAAGTGTCGTAGAGTGCTAGCCTTGAGTTGAAGAGCTGAGGGACAGTGCCCAGGCCCAGAGTTCAGGCCCCACAACTGGACACCCCCCCAAAAAAAAAAAAGATTTACATGGACTTTCTTGCCCGGGCTGGCTTTGAACTGTGATCCTCAGATCTCAGCCTCCTGAGCAGCTAGGATTACAGGTGTGAGCCACCAGTGCCTGGCTTCCCTTCCTCATTTTTTTCTCTTTCTTTCTTTCTTTCTTTTCCCTTGGTTCTGGGGCTTGAACTCAGGGCCTGGGCACTGTTCCTAAGCTTCTTTTGCTCAAGGCTAGGACTTAAGCCATAGTGCTATTCCCAGCTTTTTCTGAGTAGTTTATTGAAGATAAGAGTCTCAAATGGCCTGGGAAGGCAGCTCAGTGGTAGAGTGCTTGCCTTGTATGCATGAGGCCATGTGTTCCATTCCTCATCACCACATAAGCTGGAAAAGCTGGAAGTGGGCACTCTGGCTCAAGTGGTAGAGCACTAGCCTTGAGCTGAAGAGCTGAGGGACAGTTCTTGGGCCCAGAGTTCTAGCTCCACGACAAACAACAACAACAAAAAGTTTTAAAGACTTTCCTGCTGAGGCTGACTTTCCTGCAGCACCATCCTCAGATCTCAGCCTCCTGAGTAGCTATGATTACAGGTGTGAGCCACTGACACCCAGCCTCACTTCCTCTTCCTATTTGCTTTCTTTTCTTTTCCTTGGAACAGGGCAGGCTATGTAGCCAGTTTAGCTTGGGTCTCCCTGTCCTCCTGAAGCACTGGGCCTTCTATTCTTTGTTTATTTTATTTATTTGTTTATTTATTTTGTCAGTTGAGGAGCCTGAACTCTGGGTCTGGACACTCTCCCGCAGCTCTTAAGCTCAAGGCTAGCACCCTATCCCTTGAGCCATAGCACCACTTCTGGCTTTTTCTGCTTACATAGTGCTGAGGCATAGAACCCAGGGCCTCATGTATGCTAGGCAAGCACTCTACCACTGAGCTACCTTCCCAGACCCTATTCTTTGCTTATTAAAGAGAGGCTGAGAGCTGGCTAGCAGGGGACAAGTTCTGTGATCCAAAGAAAGATCTCTCGATCATGGCAGCCACACTTTTTTTTTTTTTGTCGGTTGTAGGGCTTGAACTCTGGGCCTGGG